CCCTACGTTCTAGCTGATTAGATCTTCATTATAAATAACTTCATTAACACTATAACGAATTATTTAGTATAGTATAATGAATTCTTCGGTATAGATATGTCAGTCATACAGATCATATGACTTGTCAATCTGATTTACCAATTATTCAATTTTTTTATTACTAATATTAGGTTTTTTTTTATTTATTTTATTGTAAAGAACTTTCTGAATTTTGAAATAGATGCCTGGAATGAAAAATAAGTGGAGGTTTAGTTTTTTTATTAATTTCATTTAAGAATGTTTATTAATATTCTTTTTTTCTTTTTTTTTTCTTAGAGACGGCTTCTAGGTTTAAAAAACTAAAGTTTGTAGTTATTACGAACTTAGTTTTTTTGTTTTATTTTTTTTTACTAACCATTTTTATTTATTTATTTTTTTATAAGTTTTGGTGAGCTTTTAAGAAAAGAAAAAAACAATTCTTGGAAATACAAACTTAAATTTTTTTTTTTTTTTTTTTTTAATAAAGTAGAACAGTTTACTAACCGTTATTCTTATTTATTTTATTTTTTATAGTTTTAGAATGGATTTTGATTAAAAAAGAGCTAAAATTCGTAAGTATTATGAACTTAGCTTTTTTTTTGTTTCTTTTTTTTTATTAGTGATTAACAGTTCGTTATTTGATCTTATTTTTATTTTTTTTTTAGGTTTCAGGTGGATTTTGATAGAAAAAGTGCTAAAAATCGTAAGTATGAATCAAATCTTTTTTAGTTTTTTTTTTTGCTTTTTTTAATAAAGTGGACCATTTTTATTTATTTTTTCTTATAGGTTTTGAGCGTAGAGATGCGAAAATTCGGATCATTTGCCAATCCATCCGATCTGAATGGATAGTGGATGCATCCAGATGGATTAAGGATATCCGTTTTAATCTGAAACAGCATCCAATGATCGTACAGAGATGCACAATAGCTCGTTCGAATAGTCATAATGAGACGATTTGAATGAGCTATTGTGCATCTCTGTACGATCACTGGATGCCGAGATATTCGGCAAAACGTCAAACATTGGCATTTTCATTTTACGATTATGCAAAATTTTACGTTTTGCCGAATATCTTGGCATCCAGTGATCGTACAGAGATGCACAATATCTCATTCGAATCGTCTCATTGCAACGATTCGAATGAGCTACAGTGCACCCCTGTACAATGATTGGATGCCGAGATATTCGGCAAAACGTCAAAAATTAGCATTTTTTATTTACGATACTACCAATTTTTGACGGTTTGCCGAATATCTCGGCATCCAACAATCGTACAGAGATGCACAATAGCTCATTCGAATCGTCTCATTGTAACGATTCGAATGAGCTATAGTGCATCTCTATACGATTGTTGGGTGCCGAGATACCCAAAAATTTGAAGTTAATCTGGATTCATATGGGCCGATCCTTGGAATCTAATTTTTTTACACAAAAATAATTTTATTAAAGCAAATATAAATTATCATTTATATAAGAATAATAAATTTATACTAGATAATGCAAAAAAAACTAATTAATTATATAATTTTTAATTTTTTTTTAATATAAGATATCATTAAAATTTAAAAAATCAAATATAACTCTCATGACAAAATCATTGATAATTCTTCGTAGAAATAAGCTATACAAATAAATTTACATTCATTTGAAAGAGAAAATCGAGATCTATCTAATGAATCTAAAATCAAGTAAATTGAATCACTAGTTGCTCAGTAATTACGTTCAGTATATTTATTGAATTTTATCTAAATTTGATCATTAATTACTTCACATGTAGTGATTCAATTTGAATGATCTTTGCTCCC